TCAGCATAGTGACTTCATTTGCTTTGGATGTGCAACAAGTAATAGGACTGCTGGATCATGTATTAGCTCTATTGTTAATTTTTTGTAGAACCTCCATGCTGTTTTCCATAATGGCTGTACTAATGTACATTCCCACCAACAATGTATAAAAGTTCCCCTTTCTCTGGATTCTCATTTTTTTAAATAACAGCCATTTTAACTGGGGTAAGGTGATTGATATATCATCGTGGTTTTGATTTACGTTTCCCCTATGATTAGAGGTGCTGAGCATTTTTTCATATATCTGTTAGCCATTTGTATGTCTTCTTTTGAGAAACATCTATTCAGGTCTTTTGTTCATTTTTTAGTCAGATGATGATGATGATTATTATTATTGCTATTGAGTTGTTTGACTTCCTTATATATTCGGTATGTGATGGTTAATATTAAGTGCCAAGTTGATTGGATTGAAGGATGCAAAGTATTGTTTCTGGGTGAAACAATAGTACCCGAAGTATTGTTTCTGTGAGGGTGTTGCCAGAGGAGATTAATATTTGAGTCAGTGGACTACCAGAGGGAGGCCCACCCTCAGTGTGGGTGGGCACCAGCCAATCAGCTGTGTGGCTAGAAAAAGCAGGTGGAAGAAGGTGTAATAAGCCGGCTTACTGAATCTTCTGGTTTTCATCTTTTCCCCCATGCTGGATGATTCCTGGACTCTTGGACTTACACCAGTGGTTCACCAGGGGCGCTCCAGCCTTGGGCCACAGACTGAAGGCTGCACTGTCCACTTCCCTACTTTTGAGAGCTGGGGACTTGGACTTAGCCACTACTGGCTTCCTTGCTGCGCAGCTTGCAGACAGCCTATTGTGGGCTTCACTTTGTGATTATGTAAGTCAATTCTCCTTAATAAACTTCCTTTCATATGTACATATATCCTATTAGCTCTGTCCCTCTGGAGAACCCTGACTAATATGCAGGATATTTACCTCCTGTCAAACGCAAAGTTTACAGTTACTTTCCCATTCTGTAAGTTGTCTCTTCACTATACTGATGGTCTCCTTAGCTGCACAGAGGCTTTTTAGTTTGATGCAATCCCACTTGTCTATGTGTGCTTTTGTTGCTTATGCTTTTGAGGTCTTATTAAAAACAATCTGCTCAGTCCAGTTGCACAAAGCCTTTTTCCTATGTTTTCTTCTGGAAGTTTCATAGCTTCAGGCCTTCCATTTAAGTATTTAATATATTTAGATTTGACTTTTATGTATGGTGAGAGATAGGGGTCTAAATAAATAATCTCTTAAATATATAAATATATATACACACATATAAATATATAAAAATCCATATTTATATATGTAAATATACAAAATACATATTTATATGTAAATATATAAATACATATTTGTGCTATATGCTATGTAAATATATAAATGCATAAATGTGCTCTAATTCCTAGCACATTTATGTATTTACATATATAAATATGGATTTTATATATTTATATGTGTGTGTATATTTACACACACACACACATACTCACACAATGGATATGTGGATTCAGCCTTAAAAATTAAAGAACTACTGACTCAAGCCATAACATGGATAAATGTGGAGGACATTATGCTAAGTAAAATAAGCTAGTCACAGCCGGGCAGGGTGGCTCACGCCTTAATCCCAGCACTTTGGGAGGCTGAGGCAGGTGGATCACAAAGTCAAGAGATCGAGACCATCCTGGTCAACATGGTAAAACCCCGTCTCTATTAAAAATACAAAAAATTAGCCAGAAGTGGTGGCAGGCACCTGCAGTCCCGGCTACTCAACAGGCTGAGGCAGGAGAATCACTTGAACCTGGGAGGCGGAGGTTGCAGTGAGCCGAGATTGCGCCACTGCACTCTAGCCTGGCAGGAGAGCGAGATTCTGTCTCAAAATAAATAAATAAATAAATGAATAAATAAATAAGCAAGCAAGCTAGTCACTAAAGGACAAATACTGTATGATTTCACTTACATAAGAAAGACAGAGAGTGGAATGGTGGTTGTTAGGGGCACCATCCAATCAGCTGTGCGGCTAGAAAAGGCAGGTGGAAGAAGGTGTGACGAGCTGGCTTGCTGAGTCTTCCGGTTTTCATTTCTCTCCCATGCTGGATGCTTCCTGCCCGTGGACATCAGACTGCAGGTTCTTCGACCTTTAGATTATTGGACTAAAGAATCCTTTGGATTCCCTTTAGGGCAAGTTAGGAGTGGGGAGTTGGTATTTAATGGGTACAGCGTTTCAGCTGGTGAAGATGAAAACTTTCTGGAGATGGATGGTGGTGATGGTTGCACAACAATGTGAATGTATTTAATACCACTGACCATTACAATTTAAAATGGCTAAAATGGTAAATTTCATGTTATATGTATTTTAGCACAATTTTCAAAAAGAATGACAATAACTAACATTTACTGAATACTTGAAATGTGGCAGATGCCCTTCTAAGTTCTTTCCAGACAGAATCTCATTAAATTCTCGCAGCAAGCCAGTGAATAATTATCATTATTCCTCTTTCACAGGTGAATAAACTGTGCAGATAGAGGTGTTGAGGGACAATTTTCCACAGGACTCTCATGTTTCTCTATGTTTTGTGAGCAGAGGTTACCCTTTTTCCAGACTACCTTCTCAAGAATACATGTATAGCAAATAGACTAGGAAAATAAGCATAGTGTCTTCTTTCAGGGCATAAAGCAGGTTTGTTTATTGTCCAGTATAATAAAGATAATGTCTTCCTTCAAGGTGAAGTTCAGGCAGGCTGACTGCCCATTACAAAACATCTGCGTTCCCTATACCAAGGAGTCCTCTCCTATAACACAATCCACTGTATGTGATGATATCGCCTGCCTTCTTTGCATCACCCTGTAAGAACTGGGGCTTAGGGAACTGGCATAAATGCTGATATTTTGGCTACTGATGTTGCCATGAGTAACAAAGTCCTTTGTTTCTGAGTCAAGAGTCTCATGTCTTCTGCCAATATCCATGAAACTGTGGCAGTTAACTTGTTAGCTTGCAAGTAGGGTGAAATATCAGACTCTTCACAGTTCTGAAAACAGGTTCAGCAAGTTTCCCAAGATCACTCAGCCAGAAAGTAGTGGAGTTAGGAATTGAACCAGCTCAGTTCTAATTCCTAGCACATGCTTCCCCCATCCATCTTGCTATACTGAAAGAAACGGTGGCCAGAAGACAGGAGATAACACTCAAATACGCTATTTAAAAGTTAATAAACCATATGTATCCTTTAATAAGCCAGCCAAGTTATAGTCGATATACTTTGCCTCCACTAATTATGGTCAATTTACAGGGAATGAAAATGTATCCAAAATGATTAGTATAATCAATGTGTCAGACAGAACTGCTCTTCGTTCTGTCCTGATCTTTCCAAACCTTTAGTTTTCTGCTTTTATTTCAAGGTATCATTTAAAACATTATATCTTGCATGAATCCCTTCCTATTCCTTCATTGAAAAATAATGTGACATTTCCCTGAATTCTGGATTATTTTGCATTTCTCGCTGAGGTCAACATTGCAGAGCAATTGAGAACGTGGTTTCTGGAGCCAGACTGCCTTGATTCTAAACTTGGCTTGCCATTTCTTAGCTATGTGACCCTGGGCAATTCACTTAAGCTTATGAGTCTATTTCCTCACCTGAAAAATGGAGATAATAATGTTGATAGATCATAGGTACAGCCATGATAAAGCAAATGCATCTGTGTGTCACTATACCCTCATGGTTTAAGAAGAAAAACGCGCATTTTCTATGAGTACACTTCAGCCTTTTTTGGCTTTGCAGCCAGTTTTGTTAGGTGTGCAGCCCAACATAAAATGTCCTGTGTTATGAGATTAAATGAGTTCCTCCACTTAAAGTGCTCTGAATACCACCTGGCATATCATTAAGTTTTCAATAAATGTCTGCTATCTGTATCCATTTCTTACAGCCCTTTTAAATGTTATTTGGCTTATTGGCTACAAGTGTATGTTACCTCCAGTGAGTACAGATGTAGTCCCACCTATTCTGCCAAATATCATTGACTGTGACCCTCTTCCTGATTATTTTCGAAATATCAAAAGAAAATCACAGTTCCTTCTAAATTATCCTCAAGACTGTTTTCATGTTTCCGTAATCAAGTCCTGATTAAACATTACCCCCTTAATCAGCCTGAGCCTCAACACTTCTTCAGTGGTGTCACTTAGAGTTGGAATTCTGAGACACACCAGCAGCACTGCCATCACCGGGGACCCGGTGGAGCTGGAAGGCTGCTACGTTCAATGTTGGTAGAATGGGAACAACTCAACCACAGACATGTCTGCTATCACTCTTACATAAAAGAGACAACACACCTGTGCGATACCTGGGCCGATAAGAGATCCTCAACAAGATTGCCTGCACATGCTGAGACTTCAGGCTTCCGGGATGTAACAACTCTCTCCCCTGTTTACAAAAGTGGAGCAACATGAGTCTGTTTTCTCAACGACGTGGTTCTCAGGACTTGCATTTTCCTCTGGCTCTGTTACTAAGGATGTCTCCCTGTGAAGACTCCTTTCTCTGTGATCAGTTATTTTCAGTGACTCACTTCGTCTCTCTCTCTGCAGAGTATCAGGTGTATCTGTCTAAATGCAAATGGCAGAGGAGATTCAGGTTTTTTCCAAAGTGGCTGCCATCCTCTCTGCTTGTCAGTGGGTATGAATGAAAACTTTTGGAATAACTGAAGTGAAAAAAGATTGACCAAAAAGACTGCCCATACCAATTTTTGGAAAGGGGTGGAACAACTAGAACTCTCACACATTGCTGATGAGAATTAAAAAAAAGGTACAGCCATTCTGGAAACAGTTTGTCAGTTTCTTAAAAAGCTAAACATACAGCTACCATATGACCCAGCCATTCCACGCCTTGGTATTTACTCCAGATAAATGAAAGCATGTATCATTTCCAGATGTCCATGTAAATAACGACTTCATAAATATATGAATATTTAGAACTTTATTTGTAGCAATCAAAAACTGGAAATAACCCCAAATTTCCAACAAGAGATGTACAGATAAACAAGTTCTGGTATATATTTAGTAGACTATTACTTTGCAATAAAAATAAACTATTGATACAAAACAATGTGTATGGACCTCAAAATAATGACACTGAGTGAAAAAAAAGCCAAGCAAAAAAAATAGTACATAGAGTATGATTCCATTTATATAAAATGATGAAAATGCAACCCAATCGATAGTGACAGAAAGGAGGTCACTGTTGTCCTAGGGATTGGGCAGTGGAGCCCACGAGGAGCAAGAGGGAGGGATTACTGAAGGCACTGGCAATTCTGTGGGGCGATGGGTATGTTCATCATCTTGACAGTGATGATGGGGTGTCTACATATATCAGAACTTATCAAATTGTCCCTTTCATTATATGTGGTTTATTGCATGTCAGTCAAACCTCAATAAAGCTGTTTTTACAAAATGAGTACAGGGGGAAAATGTGCCACCTAATCCTTTTCTCCAGAAGTGATTGAGTGCTGTCCCCTCCTACTGAATCAAAATTCCCTGCTGAATATCCATCACTTAGTTCTTAAAAAACTAGGAGCTAGCTTGTTGAGGGCAGAACTGACTTTACCGACCTTTGTGTTTCCCAGGAACCTTATCCACTTTACCTAAGTTTGCCTACCTTTGTGTTTCCCGGGAACCTTAGCATAATACCTTGCAGGTATCACAGGCACTGCATATAAGCATATGAAATGAGTGAAGAATAAATTAACTAATGAATTGAATAATTATGAATGGTAACAGTTATTTTGTTATTAGCATGTAGCCCTACAATTGCTAACTTCCCTCTCCCTAGGATAAATTATTTCCTTTGATAAGCCAATACTTCTCACTCCAGATTATCAAGCAACAAACCTTTGTTTGAAGATCTATGAGTATAAATGATGCAATTCATAAAATAAGAAGTATTATTAATTTTTCTTTAAACGGAGCACTGAGGTAGTCTCTTATGTGTCCTTTCAGCACCATTAAAACTTGGAATTGTGTTCAGTACCTCCTCAATTCAGTAGATAAAGTGCTGCCAACATTCAGGAATCTGAATGTAAATGGAAAAGGATCTGTAAATAGAAGGAAGGCTTTAGACCAGGAGATGGGATCCTGGTGTTTCACTCCAGAATGTGCCACTTACTGACTGTTTGCTTCATCACTCTTGGGCTTAAATTGCTTCCTCACTCTTGGGCTTAGTTTTCCAGTCCTAAAAAAAGATGATGAAGCAAAATTACTCATGGGGATTTCCTATGCCAACATTCTGCGATTTGATTCCAGGAGGGATCTATAGACTATACCAGGGCTGAAGCGTAGTCTTTTGGGGAGGAGACCAAATGAGGTAGGCAGTTGAGGGATTAAGTGGAGGAGGAGAGGGTTAAATTTGCAGGATATTTCTACTCTTAGAAATTCTAGTACATGGATGGGGGTATTCAGGTCCCAATTCTTTACTATTGAACTGTGTCCTTGGAGTATACCTCTCATCACATTGTACCTCTACGGGAGAACATAGAGCATTAGCTATGTGTCCTATCTACTTGCTGTGGGTAAGCTGTATAATGAAAAGAGCATGGCAGCTTTGATCTGGAGGAGTATGAGCCACTCATTCAGCAACTTTTCCCTGCATGTTTTGTATTTAGGGACATCAGGCAGAGATTTGGCATAGTCTATGTTCAATCACTGTCAGAGACCAGAATTGCATTTTCTGCCCTGTTTCTACTTGGCAAGAGTCCTTTTTGTGCTGATGCCTAATGGGATGCAGTTTCCAGAAGAGTGATTGATTGCCAGGTGCAGGCATGATTAAGCCAGTGCAACTGTGGGTCACCCCACCCCCATAGTGTAAGAAGCAAAGCACACATTTTCTGCAAGGACACTGTAGCTTTTTTTGGCTTTGTAGCTCACGACAAACACCCTATAGTAAAAAATAAATAATAATAACCTATGCATATACTCAGCAAACTAGACTCCTTCATGGAAGCAGAAAGTGAAGAAAATAAATACGTTACTGTCAGGACTTGGGATCAAAACCTAAATATGAAAAATGGAAGCATAAAGGTCATTTGAAAAGACTGCTTTACTAGTGGTGTCATTCCCATGCTGTACTTATTTAGCCAAATTAATGTGATATGTGTGTAGCCCAGTTATATCTCAGTCTGTTGTTCCAAACTTGAAGTCTATCTCTGTCCCAAAGAAAAAAAAATCAGTTTCTGAAAGTCTTGAAAAGCCAATGTGCTTGGAGAAGAGAAAAAGGATAATTGAATGCAATTCAGCACCAAGATCTCTTGGTGATACGAGTATCACCAAGAGATACTTTCCATCCCTTCTGGCTATGGCAACTTGCCGTTTGACAGTGTAGAAAAGACAAATTTCTGCCACTCTACCTCCTATCCCACCACACAGGGATGGGCCAAGGCACAGGATCCAAAGAAAGGTTCCCCTTCAGGATAAGAAAGCACGGGGAAACTCAGGACTCACTGGTCCATGGCAAGGATGGAATACTGATGGATGGGTCTTACAAAGGACTCTTGTTCTATCATGGAGAAAATTTGTAACAAACCTTGGACTCAATTTCTGGGAGGAATTCCCTAGACTATTGTTTTCTATGGCCCCTAACTCTCCCATCTGGGAAGTTGGAGGCTTAAAAGTTTTCACAGTCAAGACTTTTAAAGTGCAGGCTTGTTTCTTTTAGCAATGCATTTCCTTCAAAAATATAATGGGCTTCTGATCTATTTACTCCCAGTCAATTCCATGTGCGAATTACCATACCCAAAGTTATTCTCTAGACAGAGCGCTCAGGCCTCTGTATTTGTCTGCTTCCTTACCCCTGTGCTGAACTCTCTAAACTTAAAGCATACCAAAGTATATCTAAAACAACAGGCTTGGGCAGGAAGAGAACATTCTTAACTTGATCTATGCTACAGTATTGAGTTTCTTTGTAAGTCCTTATAGACCTTTTCTTGTTCAAAGTCTTTATATTTCTTGCTGTTTGGATTCCAGAAGCAGTTGGCTTTTCAGATTCAAATTTCTAGATTGCTATCACCTTTTATTTATGCTTTTAAATCAGCCAATCCCTACAGGTACTTATTTCTTCTTTACAATACCTTGCTAAACACAGTAACACACACAATGCACACACAGATGCACTGGGTTTTTCTTACCTATTCCCCTAGAACTAAAGATTTAGAAGGCACTTATTTTGACTTCCAAGTTGCTGAAAGTGACAATATTACCAAAATTTTTTGCCACTTTATGCCATGGGTTGTCATCTTTCCAGCCTCTGAATATTTGTTTACTCCTCAGCAGATGCTTGACCACTAAGCAGAACCCACATATTTTCAGTTTTCATTAAAGCAGAGCCCTACTTCTGATGTCAATTTCTAGTCAGTTGTTGGGGACATAAAATAATCATGCCAACAAAAAGACCATTCCACACCAATATTGAAGAAAGAAAGAGAACCCTATTATTGGGAAGCATTAGCGGATTTATACACACGTAAAGTCATAAAAAATGTGACTACAAAGTCTGGAGAGAATTTTACACAAATTTATACAGTAAAGTAGTAGAAAGAGCAATTAAAACTTCCCTTATTTCCTCAAGAGACAAAGAGGCTGAAGTGTGTGACAATTCTCGCTCACCTCCTGAGATGCTTCTGAGCTAATTCCAGGGGTACACTTCTACATAAACAGCTATCTCATGACCTTGGAGATATCTCTATATTGTAGAGCCTGAAGACTAGGCTTAATATCTAAAATGATTTATCTTTATTGCAAAGGTTAGAATAAACACTCAGATTTATTATGGCTCCAAGAAAACATTTTAAGGGAGAAAGGGGGAAGTGGTCTCTTTGCCCTTTATAAGCAGAGAAAAACATCTTTATTTATACTCACACTGTAAGTATAAAGCATCATGACTTTAACATGATGAAGGGTGTCTGGAAATAAGCAACTGGCATTTTCAAGTCCAGAAAGCCTACTAAAAGGGTGGCAAAAAATAACGTGTCTGACCATGTGCTGAGGCCAGTAACTGATGTGGCAGGAGGCTTGGCTAGGGGAATATAAATTCTGGGAAATTCAGAGCAGACCTAGTGGGGTCAAGAGCAATATCGAGTTACTTCTTCAGAATCAAGGTCATTCTGACTGAGATTGACCCTTTATCATGTTAAAGTCATGATAAGAATTAGACCTAACATGAATATGGTTCTAAAACAATAGAAGTTTTTTTTGTTTTTTGTTTTTTTGTTTTTTTGTTTTCACATAATAGTCCAAGATAGGTGTTCCTGGTCTGCAGGTCAACTTTCCTCCACGCAGTTATTCAGGGACCCATGCCGACAATGCACCTGCCATCTTCAGCCTATGACTGGCAAGATCATCCTGGGGATTGCCATCCCAGTTAACCATGAAAGCATGGAGGAGGCTTTCCTCTTTTTTTAAAAGCCTTAGCTTAGAAACGATACCTATCACTTATGCTCACATTCCATCAACTCAGTCCTATGGCCACACTTAACCTGCAAAAGAGTCTGGAAAATGTGATCTAACTCTGCCCAGGAAAATTAATTGCCTGAAGAAACTAATTTGGTAAACAGCTAGCCATGTCTACCACAGGAAATTAGACAAAGCAATATGAGAGCAAGATCACAGGACCTGTAGATAAATTAATTAAAAGGCAGTGTTTTTCAGAAGTGTTTACTTTTCCAGTAGTTGGTGCAGTCTCTAACCCAACTGATCCACTCCTAGAATTACAACCTGGCAACGCTTCTGGTAGCTCTTCTGCAACAGCATCTTCTGTGCTGCATTCTTCTTGCTCATTTAAAAGACAATCTCAGTCAGAATGACCTTGATTCTGAAGGAGTAACTTGATATTGCTCTTGACCCCACCAGGTCTGCTCTGAATTCCCCAGAATTTATATTCCTCTAGCCAAGCCTCCCTCCACATCAGTTACTGGCCTCAGCACATGGTCAGACAAGTTATTTTTTTGCCACCCTCTTAGTAGGCTTTCTGGACTTGAAAATGCCAGTTGCTTATTTCCAGACACTCATTCAATTCTAATGTGAGTGTGTTGAGAGCAGGGTCCTTGTTTATCCCGGCACATGAAGAAGCTTCTGAGACATATCTACTAAAGTATTTTTGTTTGAAGATATGAAAGACACCAATCTATTCTGTAAGTGTCCTAGCCCCCACCTTTCTCACTTGTATTAACCACGTCTCCCTATTTTCTGTATTTTGATGCTATGACATCTGGCGCCTTGCTCTCTCTGGAAGGACTACAGCTCCCAAGATTAGCCAGTTCCTAGAGATAATAAATAACTTGCCCAGGAGCACGCTTTCCAAATGTAAACTAACCATTCCAGAGCCAGACCCAGCCACTTCCTGTATTGATCTTTCTTACTGCACACCCGTATCCATCTGTCCTCATCACTCTAGGGCCAGTGTATTAGTCAGAGTTGTCCAGAAACATAACCAAGAGGATAGATGAATACAGATGCTGCTTGACTTATTATGAAGTTATTTCTCAATAAACACATCATAAGTTGAAAATATCATGTCAAAAATTCATTTAATATACCTAACCTACTGAACATCATAGCTTAACCTACCCTACTTTAAATGTCCTCAGAACACTTACATTCAGCTACAACTGAGCAAAATAACCTAACACAAAGTGTTGAATATCTCACATAATTTAATGAATATTGTACTGAAAGTGAAAAACAGAATGGTTGTGTGAATACATTAAGTACGATTTCTACTAAATGCATATCACTTTTGTGCCATTGTAAAGTTGAAAAATTGTACTTGGAACCATTGTAAGTTGGGGATTGTGTTATAATACAGAGAGCTTTTTAAAAACAGAATTGGTTCATGTAATTGTGGTGGCTTGATAAATCCAAAATCTGCAGGGTAGGCCAGCAGACAGGTGTATTAGTCCATTTTCACACAGTTATAAAGATACTACCTGAGAATGGGGAATTTATAAACAAAAGAGGCTTAATTGACTTACAGCTCCCCATGGCTGGAGAGGCCTGAGGAAACTTACAATCATGGCGGAAGGCAAAGGGAAAGCAAGGCACGTCTTACATGGTGGCAGGAGAGAGGAGGAGAGTGAAGAGGTAACTGCCAAACACTTTTAAAACCAGCAGCTCTCGTAAGAAGTCACTCACTATCATGAGAACAACATGGGGGAAACCATCCCCATGATACAATCACCTCCC